CCCCCCCGCCTCGATTAGGCACCCCCGCGAATAAGCGCCCCCATCTTCTCCTAAATTTGAAATAAGCGCCTCGGGCGCTAATTCGAGGATTTACGATACGCTACTTACAATACTAATACTTACACTACTTGCAGTACAATACGATAACTCATGTCGCTGACAATACTTACACTTAAACTACTTACACTGCAATAGGATTACTAACGCCACTTGCAATACTAATACTTACCACAACTTACACAGCTTGCAATATAATTCGAGAAACGGCCAATAGAAATTCCCCGAATCACGGCTGAAATTCATGTATCTGTTCGTCCGAGCCACGCACTCAATTCACGGATCACGCAGGACCCCTTCCAGACCCTGTTTAATGTTTTCTTGTTTGTTTTTGTCTGTTTTTTGTTTGTTTGTTTGTTTGTTTGTTTTGTTTTGTTTTGTTTTGTTTTGTTTTTTTTTGCTTTTTCAATTACCGGCTAGCTAACCCTTTAATCTTCTTTGTTCTTCAGAGGAAGGTGAAGTTTACTCGTGGGGTTCAGGGTATGGTGGAAAACTTGGTCAAGGACACTTGCGGGACAGAGCGACCCCGCTCAGAGTTGCTGCATTAAAGGACATGAAAGTGACAAGAATAGCCTGCCATGAGTTTCATTCGGCTGCTGTTTGTGGTAATATAATAAAGATATCCTTTTACTATAGCACAGATGGGCTAATATGTGAATCTGAAAAGCATTATAACATTGATTGGAGTTCAGTTGCATGTTTATTGCGCTGTGATCTGTTAAATGGTAGATAAACTTAGGAAGCGTCCTCACTACGCTGGAGGAATTTGAAAACGCCGGCCTATCGTCGTCGTGTGGACGGAAAATACTTTGAAAACGGAGCTTTTCGAAAACGCCGGCGTCACAATAATCAGTGTGATTTCCCTGACCGAGTTTTCCTCGAGCATAAATACAAGATGGCTTGCAACTGTTGCGTTTTTAAATTCCTCCGGCGTATAGTGTGGACAGAAAACAATTGACTGAGGCGTTTTCAGGGTGAAACCTCCGTTTGCAAATTCCTCGTAAAGGAGTAATTATCACTAGGGTTTGCTGTTTATTCATCTTCCACTGGATTTAGTATTCTCTCAACTCAATAACATTCCACAAAATCCATTTCGGCTTAAATTTGTTTCTGTCTGTCTGTAGTCACAGGAGAGTTATACACCTGGGGCAAGGGAGGTCCGAGACTTGGATACGAGAGTTTCTCGAGAAAGGAAATACTGCCGAGATTTGTTGAAGGCCTTGAGGAGCACAGAGTGGCGCATGTTGCATGTGGACGCAACCATACACTAGGTAAACTTATCAGTGACTAAAAGATTAGTTCCTAAAGTACTTACAGTGCTCTCAGTGGGAGAGAGGTTGTAGAGTGGGTTCTGAAGGATACACATTCATGGCATGAAACAAAAATACATGTTCCAAGTGACACTGTCAAATTCTGAGTAGTTTTAATTGCTAGTCTGGTTGAACAGGGAGCACAAGCGCGTAAATACTGAGATACTTTTGGACATAAATTTGCAAATTAGATATCTGATAAACAAAAACATGGGCAGAGGAAGAGTGGAAAGAGGCCAATATTCCCCGGTCAATCGAGAAAACCATCGGCTATGTATGTAAGGTAACCAGGCGTTTCGCCCGATAGCCAGTTCGCCCGATGTCAGTTCGCCCGCACGAAAAAACCGTTCGCCCAGACTGAAAGTTCAAAGAAAGATGTACTTAAAATTTCTCTTTCGTTTACTGTGCAAAAGAGACAACAATGTGGACATAACGAAACAAAAACGCGCGAAAAGGCGTTTATTTCTCGTTTTTTAATCCATTGACCACGGAGCTACCGTAAAAGTCTGGACTAGCCGACTATCAGTGCGGGCGAAATGGCATCGGGTGAACCAGCTGTCGGGCGAAACGGCCGCAATTTAATTCGTATGTAACACTAGTAATCTGTTTATAATTATTGTCAATCTACAGTCTGCACCAAGAACGGCCAGTGCTTCGCTTTTGGAGACAACGAGTTTGGTCAACTGGGTGTCAAAGGACCTTCGACGAGTTACGAGCCTGTTCACTCACAGGAACTAGAAAGCTACCACATCTCTTTTGTGGCGTGCGGGACACATCACAGTGCTGCGATATCTGGTTAGTCAAGTGCATGTAGGCGTTGTCACAAATCAATCAATCAATCAATCAATCAATCAATCAATCAATCAATCAATCAAT